GGTGACACAAATTGGATTCCAGGTTAGTCGACATACAATTCGCTGAATTTATCTTTGTATGTGGAAGCGTTTTCTTTAAGTTTACGCAGTAGTTTGCTATGCTGAGATAAGAATTCATTGGCTCGGATAACAATTATTTCCTTGGGATAAAAGTTTCTAAGCGGAAGTCTAAGTAACTAGTCAACTATTTACAGTACTTCGATATACCCACATAGTAAATTAAACTAAACCGGTGGAATCAATGCTTTCACGAAATAACTGTATGTTTTGGGAAAGTCATTTTCACGTTTGAGCCTTCGTAGTTTCAATGGGTGAGCTTTAGATCGAGGCCGTAATCCAGGTAACGAATGTAATCCGAGAAAAATTTGTCCTTGGTCCTCATCAGTTTGGACCCACTGACTTCCAGACGTTCAACCACATAGGATAGCATTTGTAAATGTTCAGCATCTGCACGTCTTTTAATGAGGATGTCGACGAGTTAGGCGCAATTGTGAGGAATGTCTTTCTCAAGGTGTCAATGATTCTTTGCAATATCGCCGGAGCTGTACTAATTCCGAGCCGCAGACTTTTGTACGGAAATAAACCCATGTGGGTACTTACAGTAGTGCATGGGCAAGAGGTCACATTTAACTCACTTTGTGAGTACGCGTGACTGAATTCGAACTGCGTGAACGTTTATCCGTCTGCTAGCATAGAATACGGGTCCTCTATCAGAAGTAAGGGATACTAATCTGAAGTTAAACTTCCATTAACGCTTAGTTTATAGTCATTGGAAAAATGTGCTAAACCATCCAGCTTCAGAACTGTAAGTACTGGAGCTCTGCACTTACAGCATTGGACTGGCTCCATTTTTCCTGCTGATTGTAAGCTCTTTATCGACTTCTAAGTTTTATTTCAGGGTATGAACTAGGGTAAGTGCCCTGAAGAGGTAGTACTGAGTTTCAGGCATTGGCTTGATAACAGCCTGCTGACCGTTCCGTATTCCAAGTTTATTATCGAATAGTTCAGAGTATTTGTTGAGCGCCTCCTCCAAGCACTGTATATTGGACAAAAAATGCACCGTCCTTAGCATTGCCGGAGGCCTTTAATCTAGTATCGCCCGAGTAATTTTGCAAAATCATTCAACACAATTCATATCTGTAATGTCCGTTTCCTCGCATTATAATTAGCATGAACAATGCACATTTCCAAGCCTCGTATCGGCAGTTTGATGAATGTCGGCGAAGTTGTTTCACATGAGGTAACTTGGCTAAGCTTTTGTCAACTGCACCCCTGAATACGGTAACTGAGGCAACCGTATCTACTTCTAGTTTAATCAATTGACATTATATTTCGAGTTGCAGAGAGTAAAGAGGACGAATACTACATATGCTCGCTGTTGCGTTTCAAATCATGTCTAGTCATGTCTGGTCATATTCGTCTGAAGGCTAAACGATCTTCACAGGTTTATTTGGAAATTATGATGTCGCGGCTGTGTCAATTTTAGATCGATAAAAAATCTGGCCCAATGTACTAATTTTCCAAACTGGTGGCAGACACTCTTTACGGAGACATCCATCGACCGACAAATGCTAATTTCCATATCGGTAACATATAAAACGCGATTCGGGACGTTTTGGCATTACACTCCTTCGACTGATTGCATAGAATGTGTCTGCAGGAGGTTGTTGGGAGAAGTGCTAACTTTTTCTAGACATTCTCCAGCTGCCGAACAATATTACGGACCTTCTCCCAATTCCGTAAAGCCTCATCTTCCGACAATATCTTTTTAAGAGCATGATCGTTACGGATATGTGTTGTCAGACACTGTAGAGCCAGCATATTTTTGAAATTCATGACTGGAATGTCACTATTTCGACACGTTAGAATGGTACGTTGAATGCTTTCAATGAAACCAATGCCAATCTTCAGTGTAGACGTAGTGTGGTGAAGAAATACTGCGCAGTGTATGTGTTCATTCATGAACCACATAACCTGCTGAAGACTTCTAATGCAGCGTTAACTGTCGCATCCCCATCGACGTGAAGGACTTCCAAATATCTTTGATTTTCAAAAGCTAGAAACTGTCGCAGTAATCTAAATTTGTGGTTCTCTGAGAGCACCGTATGTTGTTGCGAAACGAGTAACAACTCCAGTTAACCAGCTACTGTGCACTTCTGGTAATTTTGAGTAGAGGGTGTTAGTTTCCCAGAAAGAATACTCCAAACTGTGTGGTAGGTAGGTGCAACATCCCGGTAAATTAGCCCGTTCGCCAGCAAGTTAACTACGTCGCGTAGCCCGGTAGACGCACCCGAACGCGTCTGTGGTCTTTGGAACTATTTATTGAAATCTACCCACGTAACAATGGCTAGACCAGCCAAAAAGGACAACCAATGAAATAAGGAAGGATAGCAAAGAGTTTTACAGACAGTCATGAATGCGCCCGAATCCACGATCAATATTTAGGTGCCAAAGTGAGAGAAAACGAGGAAGGAAGGCTAAGTTAGTGACTACCTGATACAAAGTTTGGACAGAAGATTGATCAGATACTAATAATATTAATAATATTAATATTAATAATAATGCAAAGCATATCATATTTCTCATAGTAAAGAGAAATTGGGCCCAAAAAACTACTGATCATATTTACATTGCAACATGCACAGGCGTGCGAGGTTGTCAATTGTATAGGTTTTCACAGCGTTACAATGGAGATTTTTTGCGAATAATTTCATTTGGGACTTTTGTCCCCGTATGCTACCAGTTGGCGCGCAGTCTCATTTTATCGTTTTCGGTGCAACTTGGTGGTGCCATGTTGGCGGTGGATTTATGGGGGAGGGAGTACGAAAAGAATGAAACAGTTCCATACACTGCTCAAAAGCAGACGAGTAGTACACAGTCTTACTTACTAGACTGGAGTAATACAGTTGGAGTTATTTGTGAGTAGCAAGTTAGGGAGTTGCGAAAATAAGGGAAAGACTATATTAAGGTGACACCAGTGTATCATCAAACGCAAGTTGCTTTGTCAGAATACTATAGGCAGTGCACACATCGTAGAGATTTAAGGTATAGTGATGAAAGCCATGCACGCCAGCATGGGGCAGAACAAAATCCATGGCTTCGCACACGATTGTGCGTCCCCAAACGCAGGCATGAGCATGCTAGCAGTTTCTGTATCCTGAATACTGAATACTGTATTATAGAGCAAGTAGAAATGGATTCTGTACAACTCTTTCGAAATATAGCGAAAAATGTTATAAAAGTTGTCATGCTTGAATATCATTGTCGTTCTCATGTAATATTTAAAATATTCGACTTACGATATTTCAGGATTCACAAATGTGATATGTCATCGTAAGTGTGCAGTCGTTCTCTGAATCGAATGGAGGTAAAATACAAATTTAACAACGTTTTGAACTGTTGCACAGATGTTGCCTCAATCATATGTTTGGGCAAACTGTTCCAAATATTTACCACTCTCCGTTCGAAGCACAGTGGGTGGGGAACACCTTTCAGATCCGGCACGACAAGTTTGTATCTGTGTCCGCGTGTGCTGCATGGCCCTCGTAAGTCCAGTCTTGGCCTTTGTTGTATCAAGAAAGCCGTAGGAAAGGTAAAATGTATCTCGCAAA